TAAAAACAAATAGTAAAAACTCCTGGAAAGATTCTTTTTTTTTTGCTATTAAGGAGCTGTTGATATATTAAACTATTTTACTATCTAATATGAATAATTCACACTTACCGTTCCTAAACACGACAAAAGCTGTAAAATAGAAACAAGTTTTAGGTTTTAGTTGTTTTTTATTTTGTAAAGTGTACACAATTATACTAAAACCATATTAATAAATATGCTGAGCCAGATTTTCAACTGTGGACTATTATATTAAAACCATATTAATAAATATGTTGAGCCAGATTTTCAACTGTGGACTATTATATTAAAACCATATTAATAGATATGCTGAGCCAAATTTTCAACTGTGGACTATTATATTAAAACCATATTAATAAATATGCTGAGCCAGATTTTCAACTGTGGACTATTATATTAAAACCATATTATTAAATATTCTGAGCCAGATTTTCAACTGTGGACTATTATATTAAAACCATATTATTAAATATGCTGAGCCAGATTTTCAACTGTGGACTATTATATTGAATCTATATTATCAACAGTGTCGACCAATTTTATCTAGCATGTATTATTATTATATTATATTTTGACAGTAAAATTTAGAGAACACAAATGATCTTTAATCTCCAGATAACAATAGAAAGCTTTTTTTTTCAACCAGCGTTTTGCTCTATTGGGACTAGTAGTACAAAAATTGTCTGGTGTGAAAATATAGGTGAACAGGTAAAGTGTGAATGTCAACTGAAGAATGGTTGAGGTTCCAGACGAGCCTGTAAAGAAAATGCTCAATGGAAATATACCGAGTGTTATAAGTTTAGCTGTGAAAAGGAACACATCAGAAAGAGGCCGACTTTCATGTAGGAACTAACTTTATATATAACTTCTAGTATTATGTGTGCAACATAATCGTTTTAAGTTCAGTGTCACAATTTGTTAGCGATATACACTACATTATTGGCGTATTACACTTTATGAACTAGTTTCTAACTGCAGAGACTTATGTCGTAAATTCTATCTAAAATCTACCGTTTTGGTTTTACATATAAAAACAAATCTACCGTTTTGGTTTTACATATAAAACAAATCTACCGTTTTGGTTTTACATATAAAAACAAATCTACCGTTTTGGTGTTACATATAAAACAAATCTACCGTTTTGGTGTTACATATAAAAACAAATCTACCGTTTTGGTTTTACATATAAAAACAAATCC